AACCGTCGGTTAACGGCTACAGCTGCTGCTGCTGCAAACAATCAGCGGAGCGCGTGGGACCAAGCATCCAGGAGCAGGAGGAGGAGAAGGAGGAAGAGGAGAGGGCTCCATCTGTTGTGGCGGGGCTTGTGACGTAGGGGCGCCCCCCTCCCCTCCTTCCCCTGGTTATCAACCAATCAGAAAGCTGGATTTACGAGCCTTTTGTTTCGGCGGAGATGAATGAAAAAAATGACAACAATGGAAGAGATGAGCACGCGCACTGAGGTCGCTTATTGTTATTTAATGGAGTCTTAAAACATGGAGCAGAGCAGGGGCGGTGTTAGGATTCTGACGCATTTACCCAGCCCAGATAACAAGTTGAGTTCAAAGAAAACTACTCAGATTGTTTTAGATGATCTTTTAAAGAATGAGACAAATATATAGGCCTATATATTCCAGATTTTATCAGTTTTTGATCACTTGCATACCCCTTACAAATGGAGTCCCCCCCCCCAACCCGTCTGGGGGTGGAGCAATGAGGCATTTCTATTGGTCTGCTGGACGTTAGCAACAACACCTAAATTGCAAATATTCTTTTGGAAAGTAAGCTTGTATGAGGGATGCAAACTTTTAAACACAGCGTGCACGAGGAGAAATGGGCTTGTGCACGCTCTTGCACGCGTTTAATAGTTGTTCCCCCTTGGGTTCAGGGTTGTGCATGTGCATTTTTTTTTTAAATGCAGAGGGCAGGTCTTTTCAAAAATTTGCAAAAATCCACCGCTATACCTTTAATGTACTAAAATTAGATGTGTTTGAGAAACACAATCAGTTAATTTCCTCTTGTGATTTGATGAATGTTCATTAAATTATAAAATCCCAAAAGATTGTTATGCTACATTTACTGGAAAAAACATGACATGGTTTGACAATAAAAGGTTTGCAGTTACCTTTTATGTAAAAAATATGATAATTATGCATTTTTCCTCCAGAAATTGCAAAACCCTAATTCCTTGCTGCCAAGTTTTTATTCTATCAAATCTTTGGTGATGCAGGATCAGTGGATTCATGGGAAAGTGTCCTTTTTTCTTGTCAAAGTATTTTGTGGTTCATGTTTTATAACTAAAAAGAGGGGTTTTAGATTTCTCTCAGTCTGCATCCTCTTTTAGTGCTTCCTAAATAGATCTGCTATAGACTGTAAACATTTGTCCAATGAACTCATTCATAAATGGAAATGCTAAACAAATATCAAAAAGAAATGCAAAGCAAGAATAAAACTTTGAAAAGCTAATTTAGAAAAAGTTTTGAGAGTAACTTTGCTGTTTTCTCCAATTTTTTTATGATTTATTTTTCAAAATTTATATTTTCACCCATTTTTTCGAAAAAAATTTTAAACAGATTTCAAATTTTAATATTTATCCTTTTCAGCTATACTTTAATCAATTGCATTCTTCTCTAATCACATGTCACAGACCCCATTCATTTCACTTCAAGTCCAATACTACAGCTTTGAGAATTTGGCAGCTACCTGGGAACAGAGCTGGGATAACTGCTAAATTCTCAAATGTCAACATTTTTAGGATGGACAGCTGGGCACCATGACGATGTTTTTTTCAAACAGAAATATTTTGTGGTTTGACTGCCAGAACTTCATTGTACCTGAGTGCAGATCGCATCTAGATCGATATTTTTGGTATAAATCTTCAGAAAATCTCACCGTGATTTGAGTTTTTTTGACAACTGAGGCCTTTACACTCGTTCAGCAACATGGAGACCCCTGCTCTTGTCTCTGGAAAACAAGGTGATGTTCAAAGTATATAAAAAAGAAACAGGAATGCAAATTCAGAGTTAAATTTTAGGGAACTAAACGTTGCAGAAATGTTATCTTATATTAAAGGTATAGTGGAGGATTTTCTTTTTTTAAGGTGGATCATTAAAGTTAGTGGTCCTCCTAATTGTTGATAATTCTGGTGATATGTTTAAGTTGGGCCGTCCTGCGTGCTCGACCCCATTTCCAATTATTTTCAGTCTAACATAGTGGAAAAATTGCAAATCTTTTTTTGGAAAGTGAGCTTGTATGAGGGATGCAAACTTTTAAACACAGCGTGCATGAGGAGAAATGGGCTTGTGCACGCTCTTGCATGTGTTTAATAGTTGTTCCCCCTTGGGTTCAGGGTTGTGCATGTGCATTTTTTTTTTAATTGGAGAGGGCAGGTCTTTTCAAAACTATGCAAAAATCCTCCACTATACCTTTAATGTACTAACATTAGATGTTTTTGAGAAACACAATCAATTAATTTCCTCTTGTAATTTGATAAATGTTCATGAAATTTTAAAATCCAATAAAATGTTATGCTACATTTACTGGAAAAAACATGACATGGTTTGACAATAAAAAGTTTGCAGTTACCTTGTATGTCAAAAATATGATAATTATGCATTTTTCCTCCAGAAATTGCAAAAACCTAATTCCTTGCTGCCAAGTTTTTATTCTATCAAATCTTTGGTGATGCAGGATCAGTGGATTCATGGGAAAGTGTCATTTTTTCTTGTAAAAGTATTTGGTGGTTCACGTTTTATAACTAAAAAGAGGGGTTTTAGATTTCTCTCAGTCTGCACCCTCTTTAGTGCTTCCTAAATAGATCTGCTATAGTGTAAACATCTGTCCAATGAACTCATTCATAAATGGAAATGCTAAACAAATATCAAAAAGAAATGCAAACCAAAAATAAAACTTTGAAAAACAAATTTAGAAAAAGTTTTGAGAGTAACTTTGCTGTTTTCTCCGAATTTTTTATGATTAATTTTTTTTTTACAGCTGGGATAACTGCCAAATTCTCAAATGTCAACATTTTTAGGATGAAACAGCTCGGCACCATGACGATAGTTAAAAAAAAAAACAAATATTCTGTGGTTTTACTGCAAGAACTTAATTGTTCCTGAGTGCAAATCGTTTCTAGATCGACATTGTTGGTATAAATCCCCAGAAAGTCTCACCGTGATCTGAGTTTTTTTGACAACTGAGGCCTTTAAACTCGTTCAGCAACATGGAGACACCTGCTCTTGTCCCTGGAAAACAAGTTGATGTTCAAGGTATATGAAAAAGAAACAGGAATGCAAATTCAGAGTTAAATTTTAGGGAACTAAACGTTGCAGAAATGTTATCTTATATTAAAGGTATAGTGGAGGATTTTCTTTTTTTAAGGTGGATCATTAAAGTTAGTGGTCCTCCTAATTGTTGATAATTCTGGTGATATGTTTAAGTTGGGCCGTCCTGCGTGCTCGACCCCATTTCCAATTATTTTCAGTCTAACATAGTGGAAAAATTGCAAATCTTTTTTTGGAAAGTGAGCTTGTATGAGGGATGCAAACTTTTAAACACAGCGTGCATGAGGAGAAATGGGCTTGTGCACGCTCTTGCATGTGTTTAATAGTTGTTCCCCCTTGGGTTCAGGGTTGTGCATGTGCATTTTTTTTTAATTGGAGAGGGCAGGTCTTTTCAAAACTATGCAAAAATCCTCCACTATACCTTTAATGTACTAACATTAGATGTTTTTGAGAAACACAATCAATTAATTTCCTCTTGTAATTTGATAAATGTTCATGAAATTTTAAAATCCAATAAAATGTTATGCTACATTTACTGGAAAAAACATGACATGGTTTGACAATAAAAAGTTTGCAGTTACCTTGTATGTCAAAAATATGATAATTATGCATTTTTCCTCCAGAAATTGCAAAAACCTAATTCCTTGCTGCCAAGTTTTTATTCTATCAAATCTTTGGTGATGCAGGATCAGTGGATTCATGGGAAAGTGTCATTTTTTCTTGTAAAAGTATTTGGTGGTTCACGTTTTATAACTAAAAAGAGGGGTTTTAGATTTCTCTCAGTCTGCACCCTCTTTAGTGCTTCCTAAATAGATCTGCTATAGTGTAAACATCTGTCCAATTAACTCATTCATAAATGGAAATGCTAAACAAATATCAAAAAGAAATGCAAACCAAAAATAAAACTTTGAAAAACAAATTTAGAAAAAGTTTTGAGAGTTACTTTGCTGTTTTCTCCGAATTTTTTATGATAAATTTTTTTTTTACAGCTGGGATAACTGCCAAATTCTCAAATGTCAACATTTTTAGGATGAAACAGCTCGGCACCATGACGATAGTTAAAAAAAAAACAAATATTCTGTGGTTTTACTGCAAGAACTTAATTGTTCCTGAGTGCAAATCGTTTCTAGATCCACATTGTTGGTATAAATCCCCAGAAAGTCTCACCGTGATCTGAGTTTTTTTGACAACTGAGGCCTTTAAACTCGTTCAGCAACATGGAGACACCTGCTCTTGTCCCTGGAAAACAAGTTGATGTTCAAGGTATATGAAAAAGAAACAGGAATGCAAATTCAGAGTTAAATTTTAGGGAACTAAACGTTGCAGCAGAGTTATCTTATATTAAAGGTATAGTGGAGGATTTTATTTTCTGGGTAGATCATAAAGTAAGCGGTCCTCCTAATTGTTGATCGTTCTGGTAAAAAGGTCAGAGTTAAATTTTAGGGAACCAAACGTTGCAGAGGTGTTATATTAATATATTAACATTAGACGTGTTTGAGTAACACACTGATGATCCTGTTATTTGATGAACGTTCATTAAATTGTAAAATCCAAAAAACTTGTTTAACTACATTTAATGGAAAAACATTAAATGAGTTGACAATTAAAGGTTTGTAGTTACCTTTATGTAAAAATGTTATTATTAATTTTGATTATTTTTCCTCAAAAAACTGCAAAATCTAATTCCTTGGTGCCAAGTTTTTATTCTATCAAATCTTTGGTGATGCAGGATCAGTGGATTCATTGGAAAGTGTCATTTTTCTTGTGAAAGTATTTGGTGGCTCATATTTTATAACTAAAAAGAGGGGTTTTAGATTTCTCTCAGTCTGCATTCTCTTCCATTGCTTCCTAAATAGATCTGCTATAGAGTGAAAACATTTGTCCAATGAACTCTTTCAGATAACCAGAGCGTCTCTGTTGGACCCAGCAGCCGTCTGGATGAACCAAGCTGCAGGAAAAGAAAGGCGGAGGTCGTCCCCAAGTTGGACAACAAAAAGTTATGCAAACAGAGTTGCAACAACTTCAGCCACCTCACCGCTGGACAAGATCAGTCTGTGTCTGTAGAGTTTGTGAGAGAGTACCAAAAGGTACCAAAATAAATACCAAAAGTACCAATATATATATATATATTATCTCTTTTTTATTTTTTATCTTTATTATCTTGTGTTGTTGGATGTGTGTATATATATATAAATAAAACTGTAACTGGAGCGTGTAACAAAAGTAATTTCCCTCTGGGATTATTAAAGTATTTCTGATTCTGAAAAGGGAAAGAGCAATTCTACTGGACGGGCACCAGTCAGCATAGTAGTGATAAGCAGCACCAGTATCAGCCTCAGGGAGCCAGAGGAAGAGCTGAAATCTATTAGGGAGAGGAAGAGAAAGGCCGATGTCCCCGAAGAGTCCTCTAAGAAGAGGCAGAGAGTCTCTTAGCCAGAGCAAGGCACCAGCAGCTCAGTTTCTGACAAATGTGAGCCCAACACTGAAATAAATGCACCTCAGCAACTCCTGAAGTGGGAACACAAACATCCTTCCTTTTTCTGCTAGGGCTAAAGACAAGCTATTTTACTCCTTCTCAGTTTTAGTGTTAAGAGAGGAAATGTTATAACTTCTATGTTTAAAGGTTTAATTCAAAGCCAGACAGCTTTTAATAGCAAAGCTAGAGCTAACAGTAATAACCCCCATAATCAACCATTCGCAGTGTAAAGCAGGATGGTGGCAGTGTCATGCTGTGGGACTGTTCCTCTTTAGCAGGCACAGGGAAGCTGGTCAGAGGGCTTAGATTTATATCAAATTCTGAAAACCATGCATACATTTTTATTTACCTGACAGTTAATTCAAATTTCCTGATGTGCAACTCTGACATCAGTTCCCATAAAACTCATTGGTTTGTGATTAGAGAGTAAATGAAGGTGAAAAGTTACAGAAGAGGGAAAAGTTTCGCTTGATCCAGTATTAATGAACCATTTATGGGAAAATTATCTTCATATGAATAAAGAACTTGATTCTGAATCATTGACAGCCTCTGGACTTTTCTAATGCTTACTATAAGAGAATAATTGCTGCTATAATCAGGTTAAAATAACAAATTCCTGCACAAATGGTTCAGATGGTCAAAGTTAAATTTAACTAAGTTTAAGAACTTGAAAAGTTTTCAATATTTATGAAAGTATTTATAATTCAATCAGGTCGTCAGCATAGATATTAGTCTTATTTTTTAAAGGTTTAGCTTACTAAAATTTGAAGAAATCATTAGAATAATTTTAGCCATCCTGAAAATATAAAAGGAAAATATTTTAACCCCCGATAGGAATGTAAACAGAAGGAACTGCAGACATGTTCTGATCCTTGAAAAACCCAAACAGAAACAAAGAGTTTTGAGGTTCACTGAAAGCAACAGACATGATGTCTGCATCTCTGATTGCTGTTGTTCATCATTAACATCAATAATCTGACAGTATTCACAGCTTTATTATAATCAGCTGATTTCTCTGTTCACTCCTAGCTGAGTTTGAGAGAAAATACAAACGTCTTGGACTGATTGGCAGAGGGGGCTTCGGGTCCGTCTACGCTGGCCTTCGCCTGGAGGATTCATTACCGGTTGGTATTATATTGTGTTCTTGGCCTTCTGTCTGTCTTTGACTCAAATCTAAGCAGGCATCCTGAAAGCATCACTGCTGATGTCTGCAGAAAGGATAACACTTGTGCTTGTGTCCAACAGGTGGCCATCAAGTACATAGACATGAAGAGAGCTCAAATCAGACTGAGTGAAGTGAGTGAACTGGTTTAGAAGCAGCCGTCCTCCCAGTCATGTTAGTAGACAGTATTTGTCCTTTGCTGTTAGTTACACAATCAGGTCATTGTGGTTTTTTTAAGGTGGACAGTGTTCCCCTGGAGGTGGCCCTCATGCAGAAGACCGGAGGTGGGCCAAATTCAGTGGGGGAGTTTGCTGCCGTCACCCTCCTGGAGTGGTACTACGTGGATCAGGACCTGGTCATTGTTATGGAAAGGCCACCAGCATCCATGGATCTTGTGGACTACATGTCCTGCAAAGGAGGTTGCCTGGAGGAAGACGTGGCCAGGGTAGGGAGGCTGGAGGTTTGATTTTTTTGCTACGTCTCCATTCGCTGGCAGACTAAGAGCTTTTCTCTTTTTCCATTTAATAGCTGCAGCAACAACTTTTATCTTTGATAAACCATCATTTCTTAAATAAATGTGTAACATAATAAAAGGGACTCAACCAGTCTTTAGGTTCAGGGGAAAATAATCCATCTGGGTTTAGATACCTTCTCTCTCTGTCTCTGATCAATGGAAAATGCATTTTGTTTATAACCCAGTTTATCTTTTTCTAATAATACATTTTGCTTAATGATCTGAATCATTAATGTGTAAAAAAAATTAAAAACCGAAGAAATCTTTAAGGGGAGAATAAATTTGTTAAAATTTTATTTAATTTCAACAACTGAAGATGAGATCTTTAATGATAAAGACACATTTTTCATTGTTTTATTCCAGATTCTTATGAAACAGATGGTGGACGCTGCCATAGACCTCCACAACAAGGGGATTTTCCACCGAGACTTAAAGTGTGAAAACACACTGGTGGAAATGGGATCCCAGGAGCCTCGCATCAGGATCATTGATTTCGGCTGTGGAAGCTTCCAGACGAAGGAAGTCTACAGAAGGTTTAGTGGTGGGTTTCTACTTTGTTAAACATTTAACTGAGATCCTCTTTGAGTCATTTCCTTTAGAAACCAAATGGAGGAACAAAGCATAACAGTCTGCTCTGACTATGCCTGTATTCCAGGTACTCTTGCATTCGCCCCCCCGGAGTGGTTCAGCAGTAGGAAATATAGACCTTCTCTGACCACGGTTTGGCAGCTGGGAACCATCCTGTATCGCATGCTGCACAGGTGTCACTTTGACACCAGACGTTTTACACGGGGCCTCATTAAATTCAACAAAAACATTTCGCAAGGTATAAGAACATAACCAGCAAGTGCCTTGCTAGTTACCGCCTGCCTGTGCTTCTGACCATTAACCCTTGGCTTCTCTTTCCAGAGTGCCTGAATTTTCTGCACCTGTGCTTGGAGAATGACAGTAGGAGACGACCCACCCTGGAGGATCTGCGTGTTCATTCCTGGCTCCTGTGACTGAGCCCCGTCCCTCAGGGATCCACTGGGCCTTTGCACATTTAATGAAAAATATTTATATTTTATATTATTTCAATATATATATATTTAAATTGCTCTTTGACTGTTGTGTGCGTGTTTGTAGCTCAGTCTAGCACCCTAACTACCACATCCTTCATTATTTTCTGGAACTGCAAGTGGACTTTATTGTGTTTGAGGAAATCCCACTTTCATCTTTTATAAAGCTGGTTGCATTTTGTGCTTCTTTTAACACCAAGAAGATTTTGTTTACAAGTTATTAAGATAAAGCTGGGTTTACAGTTTAAAACCAGGTTATTTTTGAGGATCTCAACCTTCATCATATTATAATCCTAAAAATATCCATCTTCTAACACGCTTAATCCCAAGTGGGGGTTGCGAGGGGTGCTGGTGCCTATCTCCAGCTGTCTATGGGCAAGAGGCAGGGTACACCCTGAACAGGTCCCCACTCCATCGCACGGCAACACAGAGACAAACAATCATTAATATCCTAAGGATAATTTAGAGATTTTGTTTAATTTCGCCAATTAACCTAACAGTCATGTTTTTGGACTGTGGGAGGAAGCTGGAGTACCTGGGAATAGAACCTTCCTGCTGCAAGGCAGCAGTGCAACCCACTGCGCCACTGAGCAGCCTATATCCTAAAACTATTTACCGTAAAAGGAAATATCAAGGCAAGGCAGGGCAGGGCAAATTTATTTCTATAGCACAATTCAGTACAAAGACAACGCAAAGTGCTTTACATGATTAAAATACAGGAAGATAAAACAGAATCAAAGCAAGTAGGAACAAATAAATAAAATAAAAATAATTAAAGAATAAATAAAATAAAATAAAAATGCAGAAACAAAAAAAGAATATTAAAAACAGTTGGAAGTTTTTGTTAGATTACATTTATCCTGAGCTATCTCTATAGTTATGCTGCTATAGGCTTAGACTTCTGGAGGACATGGGGACTCCCATTTCATCATTCTGCTTCATTCTCTCTCTGTTCTCCTATTCTGCAGAATCTGTTAGTTCAATCTCTAACGTTCTGCTCTCTCTGCTTTTCCTCAGAGTAGCTTTGCCTCGTCTGTTCCTGTTTGGCTGTGACGGCATCCTGGAAAGAAATATCAGCTGTGCTGCTTCCATCAACACCCTTGTTTATAGATGCTGGAGATCAGCCTGTTTTCCATTGTGGTCCTGTTTCTCTGACCGTGACTGAGTGGATGTGCTCTCTTCGTCCTCTGGCATGGGAGCTGGCTCGGACCTCGTCTGCCTGGCTGTGTGTTTCCTGGACGGGGCCGCCTTTTACAGCTGCTTTTTGTGTCTCTGCTTCTGTCTCCTTGAACCCCAGTCGGCCTCGGCAGATGGCCGCTCACACTGAGCCTGGTTCTGCTGGAGGTTTCTTCCTGTTAAAAGGGAGTTTTTCCTCTCCACTGTCGCTACAAGCATGCTTAGTGTGAGGGATTGTATTTGAGTCAATGAGTCAATGCAATCAACTGGTTTCCTTAGATAGAAAGCTTTGTATCAATTTGACTGTATGATCTGGTTGAACTGTAAAGGGCCTTGAGATGACATGTGTTGTGAATTTGGCGCTATATAAATAAACTGAATTGAATTGAATTGAATTTATTTATTTGATGATTTTTTTTTTATGGGGAAGAAGAGGACTATGTTTGAGCTAATTTTCCAGTATTTGGTTTCTAATTATCTTTAAAGCTGTTAGCATTTGATCAAAAATTTCTCATTGGGCAGTTGACAATTCCCCAGAACCTTGCCTTTTGTTCTACTACCATAGAACTGCAAAACCTTTCCCATTATCTACAGGTAATTTAACTCTGCCCGATACACACCAATCCTATGGTGCCAACCTGGATAACTGGGGGGGATCCCACTCTAGATTACCGACGTCTCAGTAAAATTAAGTACCTTCTGGTGGCACCTACAACCTTCCTCTCACTCTTAGAGAGAGCCTTACGTTCCTATGCGAGGTCTTTTGGTTCACAGGTGGAACAAAACCTGAACTGCCTTTCATCAAGCTTGATTTCTCTGGATTTATTATTGATGATAAACTCAATTAGAAAAATCATCTTTGTGCAAAGTGAAATGTCTAACAGTATTTCTATATTGCAGAAAACTAAATGTTTTGATTGGATAAACATGATCTATATGGTGGTTAAAGGTATCAGCTGCACCAGCCCTAATGAGAAAACTGCCCCCGCATAAGATGATATAAAAAAGTCCTGAAAAAAGAAGGGGTTAAGCAGTAAACCTATTCTAAATTTTTATCTGTATAGTGCCTTGAGATGACTTGTGTTGTGAATTAGCCAATAAAAAAAATATTAAATCATATCAGATTTACAGAATAAAAGATAAAAAACGGAAAAGATCTTGAAATAAATAAATGAATGAATGAATGAACAAACACATACATATATCTTAAAATAAATGAAAGATAAATATTTCCATAAATTAATTACAAAGTAGGTGGTAAAAACTGTTGTCCCCCCTACGTTTGATGAAAGAAAAAAAAATAATAAAATGGTCAAAGAAAAATAACTTCAATCTCACAAAAAAATAAAGAATTCTATGAAAAATAAATAAATTAAAATCAGATATAAATTTCCAACCATGTTTCAACAGAATGATTAAAAACATGCCTGGACTAAAATGATGGTTTCCTGGACTATTTTGTTGCCCTATCTTTTCAGTCAATCACTGTTTGTCAATTGTTTATATCTTTAAATTGTGTAAATAAAGTGCTGTTAAAAGTAAAAAAAAGTCTTCTTCAAATCCAAATCTTTTCTTAGGAGTTTCTGCTCTTGGATAATAACTATTTATAATTTTATATTTTACTTCTTTTACTTTTGGAGTATACCTGAATACTTTTTTTTTTTAAGTCAAAAACATTTGCATGAAAAAAATACTCTCAGAGAGGATAGCAAGGGTGTACATGAACAGATAAAGATCAATTACAATAAAAGAAAAACAAAAAAGTAAGACAACTATCAGGGGATTTATCTTAGCAAACATTTAAATAAAACATAGACAGAGCCATAGAAATAATAAAAAACAAAAAGGTGAACCACTTAGAATAGCAGATGTTTGGAGAAATCAAGTCTCTGTAGGACAGGAATGGGTCACAGAGTCAGGATTTAATGTAAAAGCTGATTAGTATAATTTGAGAAAAAAATTTCAGATCAAAACATGTGAAATATTTAAATTCTTCTTCTTCTTTATTACCAAAATAAGTAAGATGATCTAAAAAGGCTAAAACCACAACACAAAGATTTGTATCAGTTCCTTGAATGCACATTTGCAAAACCAAAGCCTAAATGCGAAACCGAGTTTAACCACTAGATGGCGCCAAAGATAAGCCGTGCAGTTCTTCGGTTGTGTTAAATTTTCTGATTTTATAGGAACGAAAAAAGGGAAATATAAATATTATGAACCCAACTTTATCAATTCAGTGAAAGCATTTGAACTAAAACCCAAATAGATACGTTCTGCTCTGCTTTCCAGTCCTACTCTGAACGTGGATTGACACTTTGATAATAATTCTTGGTGATTCAGCTGGGTTTTGCTTATTCAAAAATAATAAATAAAAAATTATTTACTCTCAAGGGTGTCCGTATTAGATGTAAGCTGCAGACGCTGCCACGGTTTTCAGTTTCTTTTTATTTTTTATTAAGCCATTGACATTTACATGAAAAAAATATTTTCAGAGAGGATGGCAAAAGTGTACATGAACAGATGAAGATTAATTACAATAGAAAAATAAAAAGTACAACAATTAGCAGGGTATTTATATCAACAAACATTTAAATCAAACAGAAAGAGCCATAGAAATATGGAAAAACACAAAAAGTAGATGCAATTAGAATAGCAGATGTTTGGAGAAAACAAGTCTCAATTTTTTGGCATATTTGTCATTTTTTTTAAATCTTTTTAAGAGAAGAAAAAAATGTTTTAAAGTCATTAATAAACCAATGAAAGGAAGGTTTAACATTTCTCCATTTAGCACAGTGGATATCATATTTACCCAACAGCAGGAGGATATTAATAGTATCAGAAACAGGCTGGGGAAGATGGTCCATATAAAAAATGACATCATTTAGTGCAAAAGGGGGGACATCACTAAAAAAGAAATCCAATCTTTCAACTCTTTCCAGAAGCGGTGTGTAGTAGAACAGAGGTAACACATATGTTCAACGGTTTCACTATTATTATTACAAAAGGAACATTGATCCACCTCAAAACCAAATCTTTTTCTTAAAAATTCTGCTACAGGATAAATATTTTTTTATAACTTTAAATTGTGTTTCTTTGACTTTAGGTAGAATAGGCCATTTCACACATTTTGAGAAAGCTTTATCAGCTGTATCTGAACTAACATGAATAGCAATGGTTAAACTTAACTTTATAGGGAAAGTTAGTGTTTTTGATGCCTTGTACTTCCATTTTTTAAAATCTGCCTCTACTATTCCTTCCAATGATTTGTCCTGTTGCTATTGCCTTACTTGTTTGTACTTACTTTGTTTAAATAAAGTAAAAAAAAAAAGCCTGATGACGTCAGAGAAGTGCTTTAAAGAAGAAAATGTGAAAAGCATAAAAATTGTCAAATAAAAGTCATAAAACATTTTTACAGATGTGTATTACTATTCTTTAGTGAGTTAAAGATAGAAATAAGTAGTTTTAGTACCATAATTACATTATTTATGGACAAAGGTCTGCAATGCTGTAATTGCTGCAAATGGAGGATTCTTTGACAAAAGCAAAGTTTGATGTAAAAAAATACAAATCATTATTTCCAACCTTGTCAATGTCTTGACACTATTTTCTATGTATTTTACGTATGGTGGTGAATAAGTGTGACTTTTCAGGAAAACACAAAATTGTTTGGGTGACCCCAAACTTTTTAACGGTAGTGTGTATATATATATATATAGCCTCTAGGATGAGATATAGCCTAGAGGCTGCGGAGTGGCAGGTGCCACTGGCCACTTAAGCAATAACGTCACAATATTAAAAAAATAATGGTAAACGGCATGTACTTATATAGCGCCTTCATTCAAGTCAGGAGACTTGACCAAAGCGCTTTACACTACATTCATTCACCCATTCACGCACACACTGATGGTGGCAAGGTACATTGTAGCCACAGCTGCCCTGGGGCTCACTGACAGAAGCGGGGCTGCTGTACACTGTAGACAATGCAGGTGAATTGTCTTGCCCAAGGACACAACGACACTGAAAGTCGGAGTCGGGGCTTGAACCGTCAATCATTCGATTTTAATTAATTATTAACAGTCAATCTGCATGTGTCAACT